TCGATTCCGTTTGTGTACACATACACACTCACTCATACATACATACATTCGAATGTTCTCACACTCGCATACTTTTTTCAATTTTGTTTGGTGAATTTATTTGTTTGTTTTGCCATTTCATGTGAATGCAAATTTGGTAATTGTCTCTCACTCTTTCTCTTTCTCCCCTCTATCTCTTTCCTTTTATTTTTGGGCGTTTTTGCTTCATTTATTTGATGGCCAATGAAGCTTAAATCGTGAATACGCTCAATGTGAGTTACATAAGCGCGTAAGTAATGAATAATTTAGCTCCACTCTTAGAGAAGTTTGTAATTAGGAAATTGTTTGGGTTAAATCATAAAATTGTGTGATAGGACGTTTGAACAATTATTTTGATATGAAAGAAAATACATATAATTAAAATACATTTTAATATGTCCTTTGTACTTTGAACTTTGAGAGACAGATATTTTTAGATGTGAAATTTGATATTTAAGATAAGCAAAAGTGGGAAGATCGCTGATCTGTTAGCTGATATAATTCTGCTACAGTAAAAGTTCCCTAAAGAATCGCTAAACATAGTCCCAGTGCAAGCGATTCCTCTCCCCACCCGACAGTATGGTCATTAATAAATAAATATTTATGGTATTCTGATATTTCTGACGTAAGCATTGGCTTGGCTTCATCCATAAATATTTTTGGGGACATAATTTTGCTTTTGCTTTGCTTCGGGTCCTTCCATCTATCTGTTGGTCCTGTCAGCCTGTCTGCCTGGCAATCTTTCTCTCTGTAGTTCCTTTTTAGCCTTTTTTCAGGGTTGTGGCTGGGGTCTGGCCTGTATATTCAAGTTTTGTGTGTGGAAAGGCATTTTTGGCCATTAACGTGATATATGCACGTTGGCCGCCTAATGATTGCCGAATTTCTAATTATACGCATAAGAAATTATATCTGTCAATAAATTTGCCACTGTGTGCGGGCGCTGAGAAACCACAGTCCTGTGAAACTGTGCTGGGCGGTGGTATGGGGGGAGAGGGGTTTTCGCAGCTCAAAAAGAACGAAAAAGAAATCAGCAAAAGCCATAATTCACTCAGACACACACAGACAGACAGACAGAGGAGGACGTCCTGCGTTGGCTAGCGTAAATCCTTCTACAACTGACATCGGGAATGACCCTGGCCGCCGCTCTGCTCTCAGAGTTGCCTTATATAAATGATGAGCGTCCGCAAAAGTCCGAGAGTTGAGAATTGAGCCGAGAGCTGCCAGGCATAATGACCTCCTAGGCAATGGGTATAGTCGCTGAGCAGGAAATATTTGGCCGAATGACGCATGAAACAAATCCAACCAGCCCAACCCCCAACGGGGTGGGATGGCAGGGCAGGGCAGGGTGCTGTCTTGACGGACCTCCTGACTTGATGAACGAAAGGGAGGCAGCAGGAGGAGTAGGTTGAATGTAGGAGGAGCTTTCGCTTGTGCATTTTCCTCTCGTCATCATTATCATCAGCGCAGTCATTATTTGAAGGAAGCAAAAGCCCAAGACCAAGACGGAAAACCCCTCACAACTTGCAAAGACACTAGACAGAAGTAGGAGGAGGATGACGGTTTGGTGTTGGCGGTGGAGGGGGGTTGTGTGTGTGTGGGGGGG